ATCAAATATGTTTTTATTTGTATGCATCAATCGTGGTAATAATTTTGATATGTTACACATTTCTAACAACGGACCGACAGACTGTTTTGAACTAAATACACTACTGCATACACACAATACATTAATTTATAATAACAAAAACCCTACGGTCTACGAATCTTTTTGTTAATTATTATACGTATTATTATTTATAATACTATTTTGTGTAAGTCTAAATGTCTTTTTTTTTTTAATTCGATTCATTTCGATGACAAAACTTGTCCAATAATTCATGTATGTACACACTAAATATAATTTACACTTTTTGTCATCGAAAACATTTTTCTTCTTGTTTTTCATTAATTAATACAGTACGCAGTTCTAATACAAGTATAAAACCGTAATTGCATGGAATCATTTTCGTTATTTTTGTGTTAACATATTTCTTTTACTTATTTGTAAAGCATCTCAATGTTCTAAAGAAGAAGCCTTCTCTATTTAAAATTATAAAAATGTTCAAATATTACGACAGTAGGTAGTAGGTAGGCCATCATTGCATCAAGATTTTGCACAATTTTTTCTTTATTTTACAAGGACTACTTTATGATAATATTGACCCTTAATAGTACACAATAATATTATAATATGCGTTTGTATGTCTCAGACAAGACATTTCTGTCACAGACTTTCCCTAGTAATTAATCGATAAGCCAGGGGCGTGGATAATAAGTTGCATTGTTTGGAAGACGTGAAATTAACGTAAGAAGTAGTACAGATCTACTCTTTTTAACAGGAACGGTTTGTTCAGCGTCCATTCTGACTTAATTATTAAGAAAAAACATTGCACATACGAGGATAACGATTATGTATTGTTTGTGTCAGTTATTTTTGTATAGGTACACGATAATCCGAAAGTATTATCACAAGAAAATCTCAAAATGTCTGATTAAGTATAACCGTTAATTTCTACTTGCAGATTACTCTAATGGGTAGCTTTCAATTTAAAAATTAACATCCCCAATAAAATAATTCGAAGTGGTCTGTATTCTGTCGAAACTGCCAGACGCGGATCGCGATTTTGATCTCTTTGGATCTCATCAGCGCGTGCAGGCAGCTCCGACAGAACACAGACCAACTTTTATCTGCTGTCTTAACAGCGCGTTTTAGAACATACCACAAACGGCGCGGTAAACGCCATCTATAGTACGATGCTACATTTTAGTATAACGTATGCTCCAACAAGGTCCCTTTAAATATATGGATATAAATGGACCTTGTTGGAGCATACGTTATCCTAAAATGTAGCATCGTACTGCAGTTGGCGTTTACCTCGCATTTGTGGTATTTTCTAAAACATCCCCAAATTCTGCAGAGATTTGGATACAGTTTCGGAACATCGTGTAACTTTGTACTAAGTGTCTTTGGTATTAAAAAAAAGCACCAGTGTAAATATGATATTAAAATATTTTTTGAAAACTTTTCGTAGAAAAGAACGCTGACCAAAGCTTAATCACTCTCATTAGCTTCGTTTTAATTACAACTAACTTAACGATTACGTAAAAGTTTGTACAAAGTATTAAAAAATGAAAGCATTATTATTATCAAAGCCTCAAAAAATAGATTATTATTATTGTACATTTTACGTCTGCGAAGTAAACGTGCATATTTTCACATAGATACTTATATTTCCGATTACAAAAACAAAAAACAAAACGTCTATTTGATATGTCCATCAAATATGTTTTCGAAATCTGACTCGCCGAACGGGCGGACTGATATGGTATTTTTTTTTCAATTGTTCGCATTTAGAGAACGCACACTCCCTCTGTTCTGCCGCAAACAAAAAACAACGAAAACAAAACACAAAAACGAAATGAAATCGAGGAACGAGACAGAAATTACGAAAAAGTGCCAAAAATATAAAACCTTTATTACATTTAACAACATCAGGAAAGACTGAGAGAACACAAATAATAACGAAAAGTAAACAAATTAAAAAAAAAAACAGAGAAAACACTTACTTTAAGATATAGGGTTTCAACTCTGTGAAGGACAGTGTTTTGTTTATTTATAAAGGGCATTGGATAGGAGGAACACATATTAGTAGTAATAGTAATAAATTGTGAGTCGACTGTTGACTTACTAATCCCTAACAAGCGTATGTCCAAAATATACCCAAAAACTAGTTTAATTAAAATTTGGAAAAGACATTTTAAATTTAAAAGTCATATTTGAACTACTATTTATCTATTCGTGTACTGTGCGTATAAAACAGTCACAGAAACCGCGCTCAATTTGTCAAAAAAGTACGTATAATTACAATAATAACGATAATAATAATTATACACAAAAACAACTTCTCCATCTCTCCCTTTTTCACTATCAATCACTCACTACGTACAAAAATATACAGGGCGTTCCAAACGAGTTGCTCGAATGAATCGTGCAACACCATCACTCAATATTTGTTTTAATTAATAATTATTAATCAGGTACTTTTGTACCTTTTCAATAACATCACGATTGGAACACCCGGTATTAAACACAAAAACTTAACGTCATATTTAACTTAATAAGAAATACATCGAACTGGAAAAATACTTGGAAAAATTTTGGAAATCCGAATTCGAGAGTCCAGTTTCTCTAATATACTATTCATATGTATATATAACACGACGCATACGAAAAAAGCACAAATAATTATAATATACTGTGTATACAATAAATATATTGTATATATTTACTATACAAGGTGTTCCAGGTGTAACTGGTCAATTTTAAAATCCGAATTCGGGACCTCAAAACAAGAAAAAAATCTATCTATAAACGACATATTTTTTTTTTTTTGTTTTTCGGTACCGAATTGAAATTCTAAGTTTGACCAGTTAAACCCGAAACACCCTCGTATGTGTATATATTAGGCTGTGCCAAAAAAACTCGATTTTTTTTTCTTGCTCTCCGCTTAAAATATCGTAAAATATGTCTAAACAAATATCCTGTTAGAAGCGGAGCTCATAATTTCAATTTTAAGAGGTCCATCATCTAATGGAAATTCGGCTCAATGAGATTTTTTGTTCCAAATTTAGTGTACTATAAGATACAGCCATGGATTTTATAGAAAAAAAATTTCTTCCTGGGTTGCAAGAATAAATACGGTAAAAAAATCATTTTTCTGTTTTTTAAACGGTAAAATTTCAGATTCGATGATGGACCTCTTAAAATTGAAATTATGAGCTCCGCTTCTAACAGGATATTTGTTTAGACATATTTTACGATATTTTGAGCGGAGAGCAAGAAAAAAAAATATCGAGTTTTTTTGGCATAGCCTAATATATATAGTCTTCGTAAGTAAACGAAAATTTTGTATGCACTTATTATTTATTTATCACTCTCCTCGTAAACGAAATTGTTTTTTTTTTTGTTTATTTTACGAAAATAAATTTTCACTACACGTAAGTATGTATAATAATTATGATGAAGGTACACACGACTCAACAAAATTACACCGATTTCTTTACACACGACGACGCTAGACTTCAACACAGCGATAAATATCGCCATTAAAATATATATCCAACTTGCAATATATATATAAATATTATAATAATATTATGCAGTTACCAACAACACAACTAATTAATTAATTAATTACGTAACTAACTAACTAACTAACTAACTAACTAATAATGAAATAATAAAAAACGAAAAAAACAAAACAAAAAAAAAGTCCCATCATCCATCAACGACACTATTTCGTCCGGAGCCTGCGGCTTGATCATCAGGGAATACGTCCCGGTAATTAACAGGTGTTGCTACGAACCGGGAATGATACAGTGTGTCGCAAAAAGCGCTCTACATTTGACACTTATTTTTTTAGTTTCGTTTTACCCAAAAAAACAAAAAAAGAAGAAAGAAAAAAGAATTGTGGAATGTAGACGAAATTTCTTGCATATTATTCCCGTTCGTTGGTTCGTTCCTGGGACGCGATCGTCAATTGTTTTCAGGCGAAATTCCTACCGTGGGTACGTAATTAGGTGTAATAGGTAATAATTAATTACAGATAAAAGCAAAACAAAAAAAATATGTATAACAAGTAATCAACAATACGTTTGCGGGCGGGCGGGCGTGTGTGTGTGTGGAGGGGGGGGAATTTTGCACGGTGATGAGATTATAATTACATGAATAATAATAATTAATAATAATAATAATAATGCGTTTGGACGAGGATATGTCTGTTCTTTTTTTTTGTTATTATTTAGATAGATAATGGGGAGACTCGGGATATTACTGTTGGTCCTGGTCCATGCGACGCTGATCACTAGATCCGTTTGCTTGCATGTTGTTGTCGCCATTCCTAATCGACATTGTGCGCGACGAAGAAAAGCACAACTTCATTATGAAAGGGAACTTGGTTCCTAGAATGACATTTACCACAGTCAAAATCGGATTTTATAACCTGTTTTTATTTTTTATTTTTTGACAAGAGTTTCTGTTAGGTGGGGGGCACAGGGTGGTACCCCGAAAAAGTTGATTCGCGTAGACAGGTCGGTCATGTGGGGTGTCGTACGAAACGGGGAGTTGTAAGGATTCCGAAACTGTTTTTTTTTTCGTAATTTTACGTAAGACGGTTCTGATGATATTATCAAAAATATTCGACATACCTGGACTGTCGATTGCGGCATGATTACAGGCCATCACGGCCGCAACGGCGTCGCTTGTGGTCTCGAATTCGAGAAGTCCCGAACTCGATCTTTCCGACTTCATCGGAAACAGTCGAACAGCTTTTGGCGGAACTACGTCATAATCTTTGAATACCTGAACCAGTTCGTCTTGCGTGACTTGTGGCGGGGTGTTGAAGAAATGTAGAATCTTTAAAAAATCCAAATTGCCAAAACTCCTATCGTTGTAATAACGATTTCTTTAATGTGCCGTTTTTATGGGCCTTTAAATCTTAACAGTTTTCCCTTTCAGTAAAAACTGGACTAGTACTAATACCAACTCAATTTTTATTTTTTAACATCAAATGTTTATAATATGTACACTTACCTTCTTACCTGCTGACTTCCAAAAACAAAACAAAATTAATTTAGAATTTCTTCAATTGTATATATCAATTGTTATACAAGGGTTGTTTCGAAAGTAATGTACACTTTTGCATAGTAGTGCCAGTTTTACACCAAACGAAATGTGTTAAGAAAAACTTGTGTAAATGCATAGGAAATAATTACTTTCGATACAATTACTGTATAAAATTTTAAACTGAAATTAACACATATTAATTAAAATTTCACGGAATTGATCGAGAAATAAAAATTAGAATAGTAAATTGTAGTTTTTCTAAATAAAATGCGAAATCAAAAATAATATAAAAAAAAAAACAGTAAATGCTTTGTCCTTACTTAATCATCAGTTATTATTTGAAGAAAACAGGAAGACTAGAGGGACGATTACAAGTCAGGACGTAGCAGGAAGGAAAATTTCTTACACATCAAAAACACATCGTTTTGCTTCATTAATAATTTACTCTTGGCGCAGAAATAATTTACATTATCAAAATAAAAATTCAATTGACTTTTTTTACGTTCATATCGTTATCAATTTTAATTTACACAACGACAGGACCTATCGTTATTACCCACCTTCCAATGGGATAATCAACTCCAGAACGGTACATATAATAAACTATATATATTACATTATCGCGTCAACAGTCTGTACAAAATAATTATTTAATAGTTAGCAAAATTGCAGGTGATGATAATATTACTATTATTATTTGGCATTTCAGTAATTATATATATTGATATTTTTATTAACAACATTTGTTATAACAAATGAAATGTGTATGCAACTTTAGTAAACTCCAATTATCACTACATATTTCGCTCTTGTTTTCGCATCACATTTTGCTATCCGAACTTGTAAAAGTTGCAATTTTTTGGAAAACGAAATCATATCAACGCCCGAAAGTTGAAAACTGAGGAATTTTCCAGTTTATTTCGTACGTAAAAACAAGGTCAGCAGAGGCAGAATTTAAATCCTACTGGCGCTAGCGACGACCGTGGTACGGACAGCTTTTGAACTAAAACTCGCAGTTATCAAGAAATTTAAGATAAAATTATTAATTAATTGTAAGAGTAGAGGTAAACTAAATTTTTATAAATTGGCCCATGCACTTGCACTGAAAATTATTTATTATTAGGAAGTGTTTTTTGTTCCTCAACTCTAATACCCTCATGCTCTTTAATAAACAACACAGTTTGACGATGTTAAATTACCTATCAATGTTTTTTGTCCGCATTTTTAGAGGA